TAGTTCGGTAAGTAAATACAAATGAGATAAAAAAATGATTCATTCTGAACTTTCTTGTTTTCATCATATCTTCTATTCTAAGGGTCTAACTAAGCAGTTGTACGTGGCTTTGTATATGTGATGCAATCTGAGTTTGTTTTGTTAATAACAGAAATATTTGAAATGAAGATTACTCAAAACACGCATACTAGACAAGTACGTATATATGAAGCCCTTACCGACTTACTTAGATTTTGAGTCAGCAAGTAAATAGAAGACTTAAATGGTCAGAAATGAAGTCTTACTTTGACGATGGCATTACAACGTCACAATCTACACGTTATTTATTTTTGATGTGTCTACTTATTTTACAAGGTCCGTCAACTCTAATTACTTAATGGTTCACAAGTCAGAGGAAGCAAAACGGAGAGTAAACTGTGAAATACTTCAAGCGTTGCAATGAAAGACGATTATAGAAACATACTTCACGGTAGTTTGATGCATTCTGTGTTGAAAAATCTGTTTAAATAAATGCCTCATGAAATGTATTAATCTACATTTATGGACTAATTTATTTTTAGGCAACCAAAATTACTAGTAGTGAATTTTCCAACTCATGGTAAGCCCAGAACTGCAAATCTGATCCCTAAAATCAATGGTCCTTTACACACTCAAAGGAATATAACACCCTCTGACTGACTGATTAAAGAGTACTTGTTATAATGCTAATTTCTTGGACAAAAGTTAAATGTCTGTTCTTACACATTTCTCCACTTCATTTATGAACTTCTGCATAAAAGAAGTGACCTATGACTTGCAAGGATAGTTATTTAACATATTCGAAGATTGCACTTAACAAAAAGATAAGGACTGAAAAAGAAGCAAATAGGAAAAATTACTTACCTAGTTTACCCCATCCCCAGCGTTGATTAAATGCAGCCAATGATTTCAGTGGAAAGCCAATGATAAGTGCAAATGAAAAGTCAGAGATAGCTAAATTAATTATAAGCATGTTTGGCGGTGTGCGTAGCTGTTTACATCTGAAATATATACAATTAAAAAGGAAAATAATAATCGTGAGTGTTTAATAAGTTTCTAGCTGAATCGATCATGAATGGAGAGTGATATAATAGTGTTGTCAACCCCTAGACTGTTCTAAATGCAAACTTAAAAATCTTCACACAGTCTAGCTTTGTGTTACAGTAGCAACTCGATTAAACAAACTGAGGATTTGTGTAGGACAATCATAACGATGATAAGCAATTTTTCCATCCGCCTTTGTGTATACCCTACTGATTTATTTTTTCCAAACTCCACTTTCTCCACTAATTACAAGTAACCTTCTTAAAAGTCAACTTTGATACATATCTTGTGAAAGACTCAGTAAAAACTTTATACACAAATATCTAACAAATTGACGTAGCGAAGCAAAACGGTATTTAAAGTACCAATAAAATAATCTGGCAGTTCAGACTAGCCGTAAAGGAAGAACAAGGCTCTTGTCAAAGATGTAACGGCTTTAAGCTATTAATCGACAGTTCAGATACCAATTACTGATAATTGTATTTCCTCGATATGGTAGCTTTATTTGGAATACAGATCCCTTAATTGAATTCACTAAGACTGCCTCAGTTTCCATTATAAAATCATTTGTTTAAGGATGTCTGAAAGTGCATTCCGGGATGTGCGTCTCATCGTATTTGTAACTTGTTAGCTAGATGTACCTATGTTTGGTGAGCAGTAGTGTTTTCACTGAGAATCGAAAGCGGATTGGACATACCACAAGTACTGAACTTTTTCACATAATAAGATAACGAACACTCCAGGCATGTCCGAATCAGAGTTGCTTTAAAGAAACAAAAAAACCATTTGAACAGCGTAATGAAGATACTCTGAAACATGCAGTATATTTGCTCAGTAGATTTTGAACAGACTGACCACACATGAGGGTTTCAAATTATTTATTTAAACTCTAGAAGGAAACCATTTAAGTTTGTGGTAAGTGTGAGGAATAAAAATGATTTTAAAGGCAGAACAAAATCAAAAGACTCTAACCCATATCACCTCCATCTGAAAAGTGATGAACTGTTTTTGGATCCATGAATGGGATTTAATTTGTTATTAGATAAGGCCCTGGTGCTTTTAGGCTCTTGTCGTTTCATACAATTGAGAGTTTGCCTTAACATTAACCCAATGACTAGTTTCACACTCAGGTTGATATTCATGATGGACTGACACCAGTTTAAGAACCACTGGAAACGTGGGAGAACTGGACGGCTGCTTCGTAGTAGTATAGGACTTGTTAGCAGTGCGCACCAGTGATCCCTTCACGAATCGAACCGAAGATCCTCAAGTTCCACAGCTAGCATGTTATCATTGAGCCACTGGGTCGCAATTTAGTGGTGCATATTTACTACTTCTGTCAGTTCGCCAAATAGCTCAACCCTCACTTGATGGTTCTAAACTGATGTTGGTCCATGATGAATACCAACCTAAAGTCAATAAAACCCGACATACCTCAAAACTGAGTTAGTTTGATATTACTGATGTATAATGGGAAGCAGCGGAATCTACTCCGTCCAGTCAGCCTCGACTACATATCGCAATCTCTCAGTCAGTGTCCAAATGTGTACACATAAATAATTTCCCAATATCATGTGTGATCAGATTGTTTGAAATTTATTGCACCACTACATCACACTTAGCATCATCTTTTTTGTTTGATTACTTAATTCTGTTTTTTTACTAACCAGTGCTCTGAATATTTTTTATACGTACTAAACTATTCTGAGTGCATATTTGAAAATCAACTACAAGAGCAAAAGAAAAATAATTGTTTCTTACAACATCCAGTACTTTTAGTAACCTGTTCACTATTTATTCTTTTCAAAACCTCATTGGTATCTTTTTTGAAGTGGAAATGATCAATAGATCATGCTTATCTCAAGTAGTCTTAAAGAAATATTCTTACCGAATGTTAACTAAGCATTCACTATAGTGTATGACAGCTTTGTTGAGTGATATAAGTAGTTAGTTTTACGCTACGAAATCCAGCTTTGAATTTGAAGTTGCCAAGAAATACAATACTTGGATGAAACAAATCCTAAATCGAAAAACCAATGAGTTGTTACTCTCAGATAATGTATTTAAAAAGGACCTTGTATTAACCTTTCAGCCATTATCTTTTAACTCTAGGAGCAATTTTTAATGGTCTTATTCTGACCCATTAACCATCAATAAATTTGTATTCCTATTGGGGCTAGGAATATGAATGTACAGCTGCTGAAAATGATTCATCGGAACAGCAGAGGAACTCATTTGATGGTAGGAAAAGACAAAAAACGTCTGCAGATAAGAAAATGACTCCTTCCTGTATATTGGTGAATATATACTAAAAGGGTGGTACACTACATGATTAATTCGGGTCCGGAGTCAAAATACACTGAATGGCGAGATGGGGTTACATAGTACAAATGGGGGGTTTAGAGTAGGAAAATAATCAGGAGATTAAGAAGGCAGATGTATCAATAATATAAAAGGGTACTGGTCTAGAACAGTCAGAGTTTAGTAACGGCCATTGTGAAAACAAAGGTTATACATACACATTTTGGACTCAGTGCTAGTGTGAATTTCTGGTTCGCTAGTGTTTTAGCTATACTCAGGTGGATTTATCAAACCTTGTAGAGGATTTTGAAAACGTTTGCAAAAGAAGCTGAGGAATCTGAATTCAAAAAGCGGTATTTTTTTGAGCTGAAGGCATACTTCTGTTATGCGTTTTGCTATCCGCATTGCGTAGTGTTTCTGAGTGGACTTTAAAAACGGGCGCACAGTGAAGCCGGTGTATTTAGCTTTACAGCAGTGGAGAAACCGGTATATGCGCAATGATATGGCTCAATGCATCCGCTTTTCCTTCACACCTTGACCCTGATGCTTGCTGTAGAAGAAGATTATCTGGAGGTTAGCAGTAAAGAATGCTCTGCTTGGAACGCTCAAAATCATTCCTTCAGGATATCTGCAGCGGTATCATTTTGAATTTAGATTCAGTGAAGGGGTCTATTTTGGTGCTACTTGTGTTCGTTTAGTGCATTATTTTTTCCAAATTCTTATCTATGAATCTAGGCTAGAAACCATTCTCTTGGAGAGTTCTTTGAAGACTCTGAGGTTTTCCATCAACAGTTTCTGCTTTATATATTTTATAACTTCAGTCGCCCCTTTATATATCTTTACAGTGACTTGATAGAGCCTGAATTACGTAACTGTGGACGGTTGTAAAATTACTTTAAGATTCCACCCTTTACGGTCACTCAGTTCCTCTGTATAGGAAAACGGGAAAATATAACAGAAGGTGTATTCACAATGTCAACGGCGACGTCAACCAATATATACAAAGTACAAGGTTTTTACACATTACAATGGCTTTGGGTATTTCCAGGCACACTAGATTTGAATTCTATTGATTTTTTTATTTCTCTAACTTACCTGATACTTACACGTTGGTTTACGTGTTCCTCCTGAAACTTCAAAGCAAAGCGATTGGTTGAAAAACCTTTGACAGTTTACGGCTACTAATGAAGATTTTAGTAATCTTATTTCACATACTTGAGAAAAGTGAATGGATAATACCTTTCTTTCTACCTTAATAAACCTTACTTCGAAAATGAATAAATTGTCGTTTTCACATTGGCTTCTTGTAGAAAGCTTGACGAAGTAAATTATCACTTTTCATTTAGAATTGAAGATCAATAAAACAGAACGATGAGTTGGATTCTGATTTTGAGTGAGGTTGGTTGTAGAGTTTACATTATTGAAAGTACCAAGCAAGTTTACACTTATATTTTCATCACAAATAATGAAGGTATCATCAATGTTTATTTCATACATATGAAGTTTATTGACTTTCATTGAGAAGCTGGTGTATTCTATCTAGTCTTGCCATAAAGCAGTCAGTTAAGAGTGGCCTGTTCGCGAAACTCGTTAGAACGCCACCTATCTAACTATAAAGTTCGTTATTAGATGTGAAGTTTACATTTAAGAAGGTTTTGGAGTAGTGATGTGGAATAACATCATCTACATTAGGGGACTGGATGAAATTACATAGGAGCAGATGGTTTCTGTTTGTGGAACATTTGTGGAGAGAGACACAATATCCGTCTAAATCTTTATTTTATTTGTCATACTCAGTTGTCACTTCAGTCAACAAAATCAGATATGTCGCTGGGATTATGGCCGAACGGTTTCTTCTCTTCTGGTTCAAGTATTTTCAGAAAGTGTTTTTAGATTGAATCAAACGGAGAGTTTATCGTATCTAGTACTGAATGGAGGAAAGTATCTCCTTTGAATATTTTAGGGAAACTGCATAAATGTGGGACTGCTGAACCCAACAGTGTAAGCTGCTTTAAAAAGTTCCATGCAAGCTAATGACTAACGTCACATTTTCTTTAGTATCTTCAGTAACTGAAGCTCTATCTGCTCTGAAAGATCTTCCTATGTTACCTGTTCTAAGAAGTTTTCTGCCTCAGACTGATTTGCTTAGTAAAGCAACTCCACATCTTTTGTTCAGGCGTATAGTGACAGAATTTTTTGTCTCCCTTACTTCAGTTGAGTTTGATATTTTTGCAGCAAAAGATGTCTACCGTTGGGGTTTTATTCATACATTCAAGCTACAACTTTGAAACAGTTCAAAATGTGGCATGAAAATGAAGGGGAAGATATTTCTTCGTCGGAATTTTTCTTACTGAAACCTCTTTAACCTTCTCATCAGTTTGCTTAGTTACTAGGAATTTAGAGCAGTCTAAGTCTAGTCATCCTATGATATGTTGTGGTTATTTTTTATTTCCAAGAGTTTCTCTTAGCTGTTCTTGGCGAATGGCACTGTTAATCAGTTTCTACTGTTATAAATTTATTTTTTACAAGTGTAAACATGCATTTACACCTAATAGGGGAAATCAATCGGCATTTTCAAAAATAATGAAAACTTACAGAACAAATAACGTTATAACTAAACTATTACCCAAAACTGCCATAATTCCAACAATCCCAATGTATATACCAACTAGATAATTGTATAATGGATCGGGTGGTGAAAATGTGTGCCAGTGTGGATGCACAATTGACATAAATTCATCATCGTCTGGCCAAAAATTAGCAAATGTGTAGTTTTGCTGCTTATCTGTTATAGGATTTGCAACTTGCATTGAGATATTCTGTTTGAAGGATGAATAAAATTCAGAGAGAAAAATAACCTTCTAGAACTTTGTGTGTTGGAAAACGTTTGATAACTTGAAAAATTTAGCAATATTTTACAGTCAACAGAATGTGCGTAAAAAGCATTATAATTCCTTATTAATTATTGGTAATCATATTTTCTGCGTTAGTTATTCATTGAAAAGTTTAATTGTTGCTAGCTAAGTGATTCACAGTGACAAGAAGCCGAAAAACAGATCAAATCAACATAAGGACGTTTATTCATATGTCATCGCAAAATTCATATAAGTAGTAGCTTATTCGCTGCATTTGCTGTAAACAAATTTCAACTAGACTGTTCTTATTAAGAAATAGTGAGACTGATAACAATTTTAGATCACTTTATGATCGAAACTAAACTTATATTATTCTGTTTTGTTTGCATCAGCTAAGTGATGACTATTAGTGACTTTCCATAAAATGCATTTTATGAACTCTTAGTAATGACCGATGATCTCTAGAATTAAAGATATTCTGAGAGTTATTTGATATTCTTATATGGAATATAAGGATCAAGTTGATTTGAAAATGTATTACTGGGTCAAAATTTCATTAGCACACTTAAATATCTTAATTCTCTTGGCTGAACTTAAAAGAGGATTGAACTTACAGAGTCCATATAACATAAGTTAGGCAATGTAACGGATGTCATTTACTCTTCCGTTCGCCCTGACTAACTTCAAGTTACTAATTTGTAATATAATGTTCAAATGTATAATTACAACATATAAAACAAGTGAAACAGGAATTTACACTTGTTATAAGCACTGCCATGAAATCAAATTTCACTGAACTTTCATATCATGATGAATAAAAGTTAATTCATTTCTTCCTTCTCTAATGACCCAAATAACTGAATCACGTAAATGTTTAGCCATTTTTATAGATTATCAAGTCTGTCTGCAGTAAGAACAAGTCCAGCTTTCTTCAAGAAAGATCTAAAAGGAAAAATCGTTGATTTATTGATGAGTGATTTCTAGATTTAGTGAAGTCAAATATCCAATAAAATGTTCAAGTGCTTTAGTTTTCATTGAGTAAATGTTACCTGAACCTTTTGAAGTCAACAAAATAGATTCTATGAACACTTATTTGTTCTGCTATGATAAAACTATGATAATATACCGAGATATATAAACTTTATCTTTGATTTCTATAATTAAAACCTGTCCTTAAACAGACTAGAATACAAGTAGTTAGAAAGCTTTCTTTTTGTTTTTCTTTTGTCAACGCAATTCGCACAGTGAAATATAAATATTGAGATGTATATGTTCCAAGCTGTATTACTGAACATCTCTAATAGTCAATTTTCGTCATTCAACAGGACCAAACCTTGAATCATAAGTCAGTCTACACTACTAATATCGGTTGTGCAACATTTAATACGTTAACGCCACAGTGTATGCTTTTTCATAGTGATAGCTTGAACAGCTTATTAAGTTTATTTTACCTACGTGACTATGTATATCAAGCAAAGTTTCACGGGTCCACTTCATTATGTAAGCAGACATGTATTAAACACCATCTTACCTATATTATTCAATCTTTTTAAGAAAAAGTATAGCACTACCATCAAGAAATTATCATTATACCACCTACCGCATTTCATATGAAATGTTTAAGTAAAATAGATTACAATTTTTTTCAACTTGAAGAGGACTAAAAGTGAAACGATTTTTCTGGAGCAAGAGTTTGCTAAGTAGTTCCAACTGATTACCTGTTTACTTGACCTATTATACCTCTTGAGCACGAGCATGTAATCTCTTCAGAAATGACCATTATCACCATTAAGAACAATAATAATGATGAGAACTGTGCACGCACATTACTTCCCAAATTTTTATTATTCCCTTGTTTTTCACTAACAAACACACCGTCTTAATAGCCTATTTATCAGAAAACGTTGTCAGGTGTTTCATTATGGTTCTCATATCATCTTTACTACCCAGTGGGACTATACTATTTACTGATGACATTTGCCAAACCTGCTGTTCATATTCATATCAAGGTGAGATTCAGACACACATCAATCAGTGCTGCAGTCATAGCTACTCTGATCTGATTCTGAACAATAAACTACACTCAAAACTTCATCAATAAGTACTACTATTTCACTTCGTGTTTATTAAAATAAAAGAAATCTAATGTAATTATACTCCCTCATTGTAATCAAATTCCACTCCAAGGTTATCAATTCTCTTTTCATGAAATCAGTTGTGATATGAGTTTAAATGCATGTATGCATGAATAACAGTCAGTAGAATTTGCCAATAAGTTTTTCAATGAGTAATTTTATACACTTCATCAATTTTGTATTTGTGCGTTATGATGCATTTGATAGACTGATATTTTTCTCAGATTTGTGACAATCCAATGGCTGAAGTGATCATAGCATCTATTGTCTTAATAAATTCCTATTGCTGTAAACCAGTTACCCAATATTAAGATGACGAACATTGAATCAGCGCAATAATTCATCATTTAAGTGTGAATGTGCAATTTTTGAAAATAATATCGGCTAAAGTAACAATATTCACTGACAGTTTTGAGATTCATTTATATAGAAAGTTTAGAATGGAATTTTTAAAAATTTATGAACGTAAGGATATAATTCACTAGTAAGCCATTTCCCACATCTTTCTCAGATGATATTCAATTCAAACTCAAAAATTTCTATGTCAGGTATCAAGCTAAGCTTATTTTTTATTTATTCTTCCCCAGAAGTGTATATTAGAAATGGATTTTCTGTTATTACCTGTCACTAATTTGTTGATCAATTGTCGTGACAACTTTAAAATAACTAGCGAGCAAAGATGTTTTATACCATTTATATCAGCAAGATAAATGGTCTCTGTAACTATCATTCATCCTTTGAATTACTGGAAGGTCACATTTTCCATAATATCTACATTGGGTTTTTTGGCGGAAAACGTGCCTCTTCCTTCTATATCACCATAAACATGTAGTCACTGGAGAATGGATTATATATTAGCTTTATAGAGCAACAGGAAGTTAAATTTATTTAGAGTAATGATTATATTCGTGTGATAATTTAATCGATTGCTAAATGAATAACAACGTTATTCGAATATATAAACAAGTGATAATTGATAGTATGTCACTTTAATTATTCCGTTTGTTTGAACAATACGTCAAGGCAGCAAGCATGAAGTAGTTATAAACACAGTGATTCTGAAAGTGTTCTGGATATACATGCACTGGATAAACTGTCTTCTAAACTTAAAAAGTAAAAATATCCGGGTACTAATTCAATAACAAACTTCGACAAATAATACTGTCTAAAATAACTTTAATCAAGTTTGATAGTGGAAAATATGAAGCTGTAGAAGCTTTCCTCAGCTAATATTTGAAGAACTCTTTGAAAAACTAAAAGTGGATTTTTATATCGTAAAGAAGAAGAGATATGAAGGACATCACATGTTTTATGCGGCCTCGAAAGGTATCAGGAGGTTGGAGGAGTTGAGTACTCAACGTTATTCAAAGTAAGTTTGACGCAAGTAGTCAGCAGGAAGCCCTGAACGCAGATTACATGCCTTCTGGGAATTATCAGAGAAGAGTATTTACAACCTCGAAGAAACTTATGTCTCACCTGGGATTCAGACCCAGGTCAACCAGTGTTGCAGTCAGTGACGCTACTAATGAGTTATTCGGATTGCCACTGATCGCCTGTGGGACTAAATCAGGTACAATAATTGATCACTGATAAGTAACTGTCCTCATGTTGTTTAGTTCTAAGTGCTGATAGATTTTTGTGGTTCACTTTGAAATGTGACCATGAATCAAGGAGGCTTACACTTGCCACCATCTAACTTACATCTGTTTCAGTACACCATAATGCTAGCTTAATGGCCACACTGCAAAATGATTGGCAAAATTCGATCAACACACATAAAGTTGGTTACCCAACGCTGACGAATCAGTTATTGAAAGTGTAATAAAATATTCTTATACGAAGCTCTTGTAATTCGACAGGCTTTCTAGATTCTGACAAGAATTGTATTCATATTCAAACACTGATAAACAGGAAAAGAATTCCATCTTCAGGTTTTGAACTTGTCTATGCTCAAAAGTAACCTTGCCTTGTTTACTAGTTCACCAGATTGCTAGCCACTCCTAAATCAGGATAAAGAGGGAAGGTTGGGCATAGGGCCACCAATCCCATCCCGGAAAACAAATCCAATCGACAAAGAAACTTCAAAGAAAATACAAAATACTAAAAACAAACTTATTCCTCACTGGAATCGGCTAGACCAAATGACGTCGGTTGGTGAAAGCCTTCGGGAAGCCAGTCGGCCGATGTGTCTTCTCTCGATGAAAGCAAAAGTAAGTATGGGGACAAGGAATGTCCGCACCATGTATGAACCTAGCAAGGCTGCCCAGATTTCGAAAGAGATGAGGAGGTATGACATGGGAATGCTAGGAATCTGTGAGGAGTCTGCAGATGGAATGGAAGTGGACTCTCCAAACTCCTAACTGCAGAGTCAATAATCTACTCCGGTATTATCACCCAGATGACAACCACGAGCACACTGAGTTATCGAGTGGCTATCATGATGCCCCCAACACCATCGAAGCTCTCTCTTTCACACAGTGGGAACCAATCTCCTCCTGCAGGATCATGAGAGCAAGATTCAACTCAAAAGGAAGGAAAGTCACAATCATTCACTGCTACGCTACACACCTACAAATAATGCAGATGTAGAGAAAAAGGAGGAATTCTACAGACAATTGCAATCAGCGATGGACAAGAACACAAACCAGAGGGTGACATCAAAAGTCTGATGGGTGGGGTGACATGAATGCCAAACTAGGAGCGGAAACACAAGAAGAGAACCAATCGTGTGTCGAGAAGCACTCGGTGAAATGAGAAATGAGAATGGAGAAGTGTTTGCAGCCTTCTGCGCACTCAACGAATTGGTGATTGGAGTCGGGC